GTCTTATCAAATTTCCAGTTAATTTGTATCTTTGATAGTTTTGGGGAGACTCATTTGGGAAACTGAATTAGGTGGAGAGACACTTGGAGTGCAATTAAGTGATCTATATCAGTTTTATGGCTCATAAGCCCATGCTGGGACCCTTGAAAACTTGAAAAGTACTTCCAAACTGCTGTGATATTCTAGTTAAAGAACTCATTAGGTAATTAGCTATTTCTTTACCTGTCTAATATAAATTTTAGTTTATCCACGTAACTCTTGGTTTTTTTTTTGAGACAGAGTCTCGCTCTTGTTGCTCAGGCTGGAGTACAATGGTGTGATCTTGGCTCATTGCAACTGCAGCCTCCCAGGTAGTTGGGATTATAGGAACATGCCACCACATCTGGCTAATTTTTGTATTTTTTAATAGAGATCGGGTTTCACTGTGTTGGCCAGGCTGGTCTCAAACTCTCCAAAAGTGCTGGGATTTCAGGTGTGAGCTACCACAGCTGGCCCTGTGTAACTCTCTTGAAAGAAAATAAATATAGTGGCCTAAACAGGAATAAGGAGGGAGAGGAGTGTGATTGAGAATAAGCTGAACTGACAGCTGAGAATTGATGCCTAAAACAGTAACTGATAATGATGGGAGATTGTAGTGGAGTATAATTTCTTAGGTGTTTTGGGAACTTAAAGAGAAGGTCAAGTACTATACAAAGTTATATCATGCTGTTGTATACTCTATATGTCATTACCTCATTTGCCTTAGGATGAGTTTTTAAAAACAAAGTTTATTTTTCACTTGATACCATTTACTGTGCATCTCCCTTCCCTGTTCCACCCCACCCCAGCATTTTTAAAAGGTTTTAAATTTGAATTGATAGCATATATTTTTTTCCCTGCTTTACATTTTTAGGTTTTAGGTTAAGTACATCTTAACACCTGTGCATATGCAGTAATGTGAAATCCTTAAGAGATCTTACTCAGTTGATACATTTTGTTGCATTGGCAGAGTGAAGATAGTCCAAGTCCCAAGAGACAGCGCCTCTCTCATTCAGTCTTTGATTATACATCAGCATCACCAGCTCCCTCACCACCAATGCGACCATGGGAGATGACATCAAATAGGCAGCCCCCTTCAGTTCGACCAAGCCAACATCACTTCTCAGGGGAACGATGCAATACACCTGCACGCAACAGAAGAAGGTTAGTTGATTATAATTTATTTCTTGAGTTTTCTTCCATTGGTAGATTTGTGAGTATATTTAACATCAGAAAACATGTTTTCTGTAAGCATTTCATAAACACATCACCACACATACATGTTCATTCAGTCATTAAAAAGTTTCTTAGATTTCTACTAGGTCAGAAGAGTTTATTTAGCTTATCATTGACAGATGAAAAAATGCAAAGGTGATAAAATCAGTCCATGCCATTATATATGAAATCAGCTGCCTTGTAGTATAGATTTTTGCAGGCTAGCCTGCAATCTTTTTTTTTTTTTTTTTTTTTTTTCTTAAGACGGAGTTTCACTCTTGTTACCCAGGCTAGAGTGCAATGGCGCGATCTTGGCTCACCACAACCTCCATCTCCTGGGTTCAGGCAATTCTCCTGCCTCAGCCTCCTGAGTAGCTGGGATTACAGGCACGCGCCACCATGCCCAGCTAATTTTTTGTGTTTTTAGTAGAGACGGGGTTTCACCATGTTGACTAGGATGGTCTCCATCTCTTGACCTCATGATCCACCCGCCTTGGCCTCCCAAAGTGCTGGGATTACAGGCTTGAGCCACCGCACCTGGCCTTAGCCTGCAAATCTTGATTATTAGAAGATGCATTTTACAGTTCATAACTGTAAGGATATGTGGACATCTTAGAAGTAAACTACCCTTTTCCCACTCCATTCGTTTTCCTTCTGTATCCTCTAAGGCAATTAGGAGCTTAATTATGTTTCTTCTAAAACTGTGGAGAGTCAGCATGGTAGTGGTTCATGACTATAATCCCAACACTTTGGGAAGCCAAGGTGGGAGGATCACTTGAGGCTGTAGAGTTCAAGACCAGCCTGGGCAACACAGCAAGACTCTGTCTCTACCAAAAAAACAAAACAAAACAAAAAACCGTAAGTTGAGCATGTTGGCTCACGTCTGTAGTCCAAGCTAATTGAGAGACTGAGACAGGAGGATTGTTTGAGCCCAGGAGTTTGAGGCTGCAATGAGTCTGAGCTGTGATTGTGCCACTGCACTCTAGCCTTGGTGTTTAAAAACAACAGCACAACTCTGGAGCCTGTGGTATGAAAAGATGATTGAGGTTTAGTTCAGCTGTTAGGCACCCCAACTTGGCCATTGTCTTTTCATCCCACATGAGTGCATTTCTCTTTTTTTTCCTTTTTCTTTTCTTTCTTTCTTTTAAAGACAGAGTCTCGCTATGTTGCCAGGTTGGAGTACAGTGGCACAATCTTGGCTCATTGCAACCTCGACCTCCTGTTCAAGTGATTCTCCTGCCTCAGCCTCCCGAGTAGCTGGGACTACAGGCGCATGCCACCACACCTGGCTAATTTTTATTTTACTTTTAGTAGATATGGCTTTCACTGTGTTAGCCAGGATGATCTCCTGACCTCACAATCTGCCCACCTTGGCTTCCCAAAGTGCTGGTATTCAGGCGTGAGCCACCGTGCCTGGCCGAGGAGTGCATTTCTTCCTGAGTTTCTTCCTCATTAGGAAGAAGTTGTTGCTTGAGGTCATGCATTTCTTATCCCAGGGATATAGTGCATCATGAGATGCCTGTTTGTATGTCTAGGATGTTGAAGGAATAGCAATGATCGTGAATTAGGAAGGTGTTACGGACCAAATGTTTATAAACTACTCTGTGCTCCTCTACCTCCCACTAATGTGATGAAGCTATAATCTTCCTGTAACCCTCAATGTGGTTGTATTTAAAGATGTCACCTCTAAGGAAGTGTAATTAAGGTTAAATGAGGTCGTAAGGTTAGGATCCTTACCCAGCAAAATTAATGTCCTTTAAGAAGGAATGTGTCAGGCACTCAGTGGCTCATACCTGTAATCCCAGCACTTTGGGAGGCCGAGGCAGGCAGATCATGAGGTCAAGAGATTAAGACCATCCTGGCCAACATGGTGAAACCTCATCTCTATCAAAAATAAAAAAATTAACTGGGCATGGTGGTGGTGCACACCTGTAGTACCAGCTACCTGGGAGGCTGAGGCAGGAGAATCCCTTGAACTCGGGAGGTGGAGGTTACAGTGAGCCGAGATAACGCCACCGTACTCCAGCCTGGTGACAGACAGACTCCATCTCAAAAAAAAAAGGATGTTGGGAACTTACCTTCAACCGTGTGAGGAAGCGATGAGATATAGTTGACTGCAAGCCAGGAAAAGATCTCTCTCTAAAAACCAACTATGCTGGTACTTGGATTTCAAACGTCTAGCCTTTAAAACTTTGAGAAATTAGGTATCTGTTTAAGCTACCCAGTTTGAGATGTTTTGTTATGGCAGCCTAAGCGGGCTAATACTGAAGGTATCTTAAAAACCACCATTTTAATGTCCCAGATGCGACAGCATAAACCTGTGTCTGAGCTAAATTCTGTCAAAGACTCTAAGACTTTGACATTACCCAGTACCTTATTAACCAATTACATTGGAATGTTTTTAGGTAAGACAGTATATAACTATCAGGTAAATTATTTTATAGCCATTAAATATAATTAGCATGAGGAAGTATAGTTGTTTCAAAGTTAAGGCCTGAGTACCTGCTGTAGTCTTTTCCTGCTTTATGGTGAATAAAACAGATGTACAGTTAAAAGGCTGACAAAGGTGGCCACCATGGCTCACACCTGTAATTCTAGCACTTTGGGAGGCCAAGGCAGGCAGATCACCTGAGGTCAAGAGCAAGACCAGCTTGGCCAAAATGGTGAAACCCTGTCTCTACTAAAAATACAAAAATTACCTGGGCGTGGTGGCAGGTGCCTGTAATCCCATCTACTCTGGAGGCTGAGGCAGGAGAATCGCTGGAACCTAAGAGGCAGGGTTGCAGTGAGCAGAGATCACGCCCACTGCACTCCAGCCTGGGGGAAAGGGCGAGACTCCATCTCAAAAAAAACAACCAACAAAAGACTAACAAATACATGTACCTAGCATCTAGGTGAAAATATTGTTATCGATCCCTCAAAGACTGCAGGCATTACTCTTCCCCTTCATTTTTCTTGTTCTGGAATTTGACATTATTCCCTGTTCAGTCATGGTTTTTAATACCTATGAATATACTGTTAATATGATTTTGGATTTTACCTGTTTTCCTTTAAAAGCATTTTTGTTTTACTGTTTTTATTTATTTATTTAATTAATTAATTAATTAATTAATTTATTTTTTTGAGACGGAGTTTAGCTCTTGTTACCCAATCTGGAGTGCAATGGCGCGATCTCGGCTCACCGCAACCTCCGCCTCCTGGGTTCAAGCAATTCTCCTGCCTCAGCCTCCTGAGTAGCTGGGATTACAGGCACGTGCCACCATGCCCAGCTAATTTTTTGTATTTTTAGTAGAGACAGGGTTTCACCATGTTGACCAGGATGGTCTCAATCTCTCGACCTCGTGATCCACCCGCCTCGGCCTCCCAAAGTGCTGGGATTACAGGATTGAGCCACGGCACCCGGCCTTGTTTTTATTTATATATTTATTTTTTATTTTTGAGGCAGAGTTTCGCTCATTGCCCAGGCTGGAATGCAGTGGCATGATCTCGGCTCGCTGTAACCTCCGCCTCCTGGGTTCAAGCGATTATCCTGCCTCAGCCTCCCAAGTAGCTGGGATAGGCTAATTTTGTATTTTTAGTAGAGACAGGGTTTCTCCATGTTGGTCTCAAACTCCTGACCTTAGTTGATCTGCCTGCCTTGGCCTACCAAAGTGCTGGAATTACAGACATGAGCCACTGCACCTGGCCTCTGTTTAAGCATTCTTGTTTTTATTTTTATTTAAAAAAATTTAAGTTCAGCCTTTTATTGAATGCATTATAAAAGAGGTTTAATCAAAAACACCACGAAAGGCCATGTTATCACACTCCTTGGATTCTTCTTTCTTTGCTTCCACTTTGTTCTTCTCAGTTGGAGCAGCAGCAGTGGTAGGGGTAGGACCTCCTGCTGAAGCAGCACCACCAGCCCCTACAGTGCAGATGAGGCTCCCAGTGTTGAGGTTGGCCAGGGCCTTTGCACACAAGCCAGGCCAAAAAGATTCAAAATTGACACCAGCTGCTTTAATGAGGGCATTGATCTTGTCCTCCTTATCATGGTACAGAATGAGGACCAAGTAGATGCAGTGCAGGTGAGCTCCAAGAGAGAGACCATGACATGGGCGAATGTGGGGCTGGCGCTGCTGTACGTGATGCTAGTTAGACGGGTGAAGTGAGGGCCTGCCACCACACCAGGCTAATTTTTATAGTAGAGTCGGGATTTCACCATGTTATCCAGGTTCATCTCAAACTCCTGACCTCAGGTGAGCCATTCGCCTGGCCTCCAAAAGTGCTCGGATTATAGGCATGAGCCACCACACCCAGCTCTGTTGTAAACAGTACTGTTAGGAACCTTTGTGTGCACATCTCTCTGTGTACATGTGCAGAAGTTTCACTAGGATGTAGGTCTAGGAGTAGAACTGCTACGTTATAGGAAATGACTTAGACCAGGAAGGGAGTGTTAGAATGTCTGTTTACAGATGATGATGATAATAGTAACTATCTTTGAGTTCTTTGAGAAGCATCATGGTCTTTGCTCATGGCAACACAAAGGAGCAGTAGAGAGTATTTACCACTCAGAAAACTGGCTCTACTGTTTTGTGTTTTTTTTTTTTCCAGCAGTATGTTTTATTCTGCATTCTATACTTGTTTACTACTTAATATAGGTTAGGAATAAGCATAGCTGCCAGATTTTCTTCCCCAGAAACAGGATGTGCCAGGCAGGTGCAGTTTTTAACACTATTATCTAGCAGGATTTCAGTTACAATGGTCAGCACAAAACTAGGTATTTGAAGAAAACAAATGAAGTAAAAGAGGGATACTATTAATAAATGCAGTTAAAATGAAGAGCTTGAATAAACAAGGCCATTAAACTCAATTAACAACAAACTTCAAGAAACAGCAGAACAAGTAAGATCGAATTTTAGAGTATGTGTAATATGAGAGATGTAAGAGGGAAAGGAATGAGGGATATTGTTCTCATGAAAATCAACTAGAAATGTTAGCTGGTAGAACTAAATGGACAAAGTGAGTTCATTCTGGAAGATCACTAGAAGAAGAGAATGCATAAATTCTAATTTAAGTAAACAACATAAGTAGAAAACTGCTAACAAAAGGCAGAAAAGTGACTCCAGGAGGGAATATCTTTGTGCTATTTACAAGTTTCTATACCTAAAACAAAATTACAAAGTTTGTATCTGTCACAGGTGACATTTGTCAATCTTAACTTCACTGTTTTGTATTTAAAGATTTTTCAGTAATTCTGCATCTTAAATGTTCTGCCACACAAAGGCACACAAAACAGATTTAATGAGAGAGAATACAGGAAAGATCAGAATTAAAATTGTGAAATCTGTCAGCATGAGGACTGGATCTAATTTTGTGATTAGTTTGAGAGCTACTAAAATTATTTTTGGGTAGGAAATGAGATCAAGTGGCAACAATTGAGAGGATAAATAGTATTAAAAGAGGCTCTTTGGTTTGTGGACGGGTTGGATATTAAGGGAGTTGGATATTAAGGGAGATGAGTGATCTGAGCGTATACTAGTTTGATTTTAAGGTGCACATTTTTTCAAATTTGAACATCTAATGAAGACTTAAAATTGGTATATATCTTCTTGGCCACTTTTTAGCAATGCATAAAATAGTCCTTTAAAATGTTTTTATAGGTAAAGAAATGGTACTATGTGCACATACATGAACTAGCTCTGTAATGTTTCTTTAATCTGCTGTCTTAGCCCAGAAGTCATAACTCCCTAGTAGCAGAGAGCACAACTAGCACCTGATATTGGCTTCCAGATACCACTCTATAGTCAAAGGAACCAGAGCTCTTTGTAGAATTGGTTAATTCCAGGGCTTGGGTAGAGAAACTACAAGATGAGTCTGGAGAGATTGTGGTGCAGATACTAAGGAAGTGCTCAGAAGAATGGGGACGTATTGAAAGAGCTCAGGGGCCAAACTGAAAGTGTTGCCACTGGAATAATCTGAACAACAAAATAAAACGACTGACAAAAGAAACATAAAACCCAAAGAATAAAATAAATATCTGAGTCTGTGTTGGTTATAAGTAACTGAATAACAGCTCTTTCTTATAGAAGATTTCTAATAAAGAACTAAGAGAAATAGAAAATCATCAGTAGAACAGTCTAGTAGTGTTTGCTGCAGGTTCCATCCGTGCATGCTAAAATTATTGGTAAAACTTTAAGCAGAAGTAGGATATTTGTCTGTTCTCAATGTCTCTTCACCCAAATATTTGGTAATTACCAAAGGAAGAATGTTGGCTTTGTGTGGAGGGTCCAGGTGATTATTGTTGATATGACCATTGATGCACATTGATGTCGTGTGCCCCCTTCATATGATGCCCCCTTCAAATGATGTATCACCTCTGCCATATCTTTTCCAATAACACATAACCTTAGGCACATAACATAATGAGAAAATAAACTCAGGATGAGGGGCATTCTGCAGAATGAATTTCTGCTATATTCAGAGGTGTCAAGGACATGAAAGACAAGGAAAGACTCAAACTGTCACAAATTGGCGAATATTAAGAAGACAAGACAGGCCAGGCGTGGTGGCTCAAGCCTGTAATCCCAGCACTTTGGGAGGCTGAGGCGGGTGGATCACGAGGTCAAGAGATCAAGACCATCCTGGTCAACATGGTGAAACCCTGTCTGTACTAAAAATACAAAACGTTAGCTGGTCATGGTGGCGCATGCCTGTAATCCCAGCTACTCAGGAGGCTGAGGCAGGAGAATTGCCTGAACCCAGGAGGCGGAGGTTGCGGTGAGCCGAGATCGCGCCATTGCACTCCAGCCTGGGTAACAAGAGTGAAACTCCGTCTCACAAAAAAAAAAAAAAGAAGACAAGGCAATGTGATATGGATTCCTGCAATTGGATTCTCAAACAGTGAGGGTTCAATAGTGGAAAAATCACCATACATTCTATAGTTTAGTTAATAGTGTGGCATCAGGATTTATTTAATTTTGATAATTTTTCTATGGTTATGGAAGATACTAACTCAAAGGGAAGCTGGTTGAGGGGTATACAGAAACACTATTAAATAATTACCTCAAAATGTTTTAATGGCCAGGCGCATGGTGGCTCACCTCTGTTATCCCGGTACTTTGGGAGGCCAAGGCGGGCAGATTATCTGAAATCAGAAGTTTAAGACCAGCATGGCCAACCTGGTGAAACCCCATCTCTACTAAAAATACAAAAGAAAAAAAAAAAAAATCGCTGAGGGTCGTGGCGCAGATATCATTAATCCCTGCTAGTCGGGAGGGACTTGAACCTGTTAGGCGGAAGTTGCAGTGAGCCCAGAGATTGCACCAGTGCACTCTCACCTGAGTGACAAAAGTGAAACACCATCTTAAAAAGTTTTTAGTCCTAAGGTGGAGGGCATCTTGAATTCAGTAAAATACAGTAACTAGATTTTGAAGCAAAATATAAAAAGCATTATACTAAAAATAAACTAAGAAACAATGGAGCAAGAAGTTGGAGGGATGATAGCAAAAGTATCTTTGCAAGTTGATCTCATAAAGGAATGCCCCTTGTTCTTTTAAGATTGGAGAATTTGGAGTAAGAAGAAACAGATTTAGAGGAACACAGGAAGATAGGGAAAAAGTGACTGATCTCAGCAAAGAAGGTTGCTGAAATGACACTTGAAACTCTTCCTAGAAGGGAGATGTTTGACCTCCTTTGCCCAATGTAGAGTACAATTTTAATGAGGCCGGCTACATTTTTCAAAATGGTTTTCTGGGGAGCCACTGTAAAAAGCAGTGGAGGTGAATTGTGAAAGTTTAGAGAAGGGCAAAATGAAAGTTTAGTCATAATAAAATGTTTATTAAAACTATGTAGATGACTAGTACATGGAGAGTAAATGTGGCTTGCTTCAATAAGCAAATTCTCTCTCTGTTTTTATTTTAAAGACACGATCTCACTCTGTTGCCCAGGCTGGAGTGCAGTAGTGGCATGGTCTCGGCTCTCTCCAGCCTCGGCCTTCCAGGCTTTAGGTGATCCTCCCACTTCAGCCTCCCAGGTAGCTGGGACTACAGGTGCACATCACCACGCCCGGCTGATTTTTTGTAATTTTGGGTAGAAACAGGGTTTCACCATGTTTCCCAGTCTGGTTTTGAACTCCTGGGCTCAAGAGATCCACCTGCCTCGGCTTTTCAAAGTGCTAGGATTACAGGCATGAGCCATTACACCTGGCCCGACAAGCAAATTCTAATTTAAAATTCTATACAAATATATATACCCCGTGTGTACCCATAAAAATTAAAAGTTAAAATTTTATATGTTCTTGGAATATTTATGTTGATACTGTCTCTCAGTCATATTCATTCTCAATCATATTTATTGTGTGTTTAACCGGTTTCTATTTGCAGTTGTCAGCACATTATATGTCCTTTGATTATTTCATGTTTTTCTCTTATTTTGAAAAAGTATCATTTGGCCACATAGGAACTATGTCTTCTGTATGTGTTAGCTAAAAAGACAAAAAAGTGCCTATTATGTGAATGAGGAATACTGACAAGATATATACAGATTAAAGTTCATTTTATTACAGTGTTTAAGAAGGGAGAAAATAGGTTAAGTCATAAGAAATTATTGATCTTAGACTACCTTTTACTTATAAAAAGGGCAATTTCATTACCATGCAAGAAAAAAATTTTCATAGCTGTTGATTTCTAAATATTTTCAGAGATGAATACCAATATTGTTTTCTTTCATTATTTTATAAAACATATACCTTGTATTTAAATTTGTAAGAGCTGGTGGCGAATTTTAGCAGTTCTTTAATACTGAAGCTTACTTCGGCATATACTATTGATATCAAAGAAAGACAATACAGAATCCTGATGGATCACAACAGTAAACATAATGACTTTTTTTTTGACGTTTTTTACAGCCCTCCTGTCAGGCGCCAGAGAGGAAGAAGGGATCGTCTGTCTCGACATAATTCCATTAGTCAAGATGAAAACTATCACCATCTCCCTTATGCACAGCAGCAAGCAATAGAGGAGCCTCGAGCCTTCCACCCTCCGAATGTATCTCCCCGTCTGTTACATCCTGCTGCTCATCCACCACAGCAGAATGCAGTCATGGTTGACATACATGATCAGGTACAGTAATAGAATGTCTCGGAAATACAGAAGCTGAAATTTTGTGGCAGTTTGAGATTTTTTTGGCTTTTTTGCAAATTTCTTTTAATTTTACCTAAAATGAACTTATTTAAGTTCCTCATTCCTTTTAATAATTGAGATTTAAATTCTACGTAGGTTCCATAGAAGAAAGCTGAACTTAAAAAATTAGAGAGCCTGGCACTGTGGCTCATTCATGTCTGTAATCCCCGTACTTTTCAGAGGCCAAGGTGGGCGCATCACTTGAGCTTAGGAGTTGGAGAGCATCCTCACACAGTGAAAACCTGTATCTACTAAAAATAGGAAAATTAGCTGGACATGGTGGCAGATGCTTGTGGTCCTAGCTAAGGCAGAAGAATCACTTGAACTCAGGAGGTGGAGGTTGCAATGAGCCAAGATCACACAACTGCACTGGGTGACAAAGTGAGGCTTTGTCTAAAAAAAAAGAGGGGGAGTGGATCAAGATTATGAGAGCTTAGAATGAATTCATGTATGGCTGATTTGAAATTACTGATTTAAGATTAATAGGAATAGCAGACAGCTGGTAGTTTGAGTACATATCCCTGTTTCCCTTTCCTTCCATTTCTTCTGGAATAATTCAATAAGCAAGACAATTGGGTACATCTTTGCTTATAGGTTCCCATAGGTCTCCAAGGATATGACAGGTACAAGGCTATGGTGCTTCCTTTCCCTTTTTTTCCTGCCCAGAACTGAAGGACTAGCTGAGAAGAGGGGTTGCCTATCGTCAGAGCCTGAGGATGAAGACCACAATTTCATGGTTTTCTGTGGCGTTTCTCAGGTCAAAAAAAGACATATATCTGTACATGTCCTTATAAAAGTTGCTGGATTTTAAGGATAAAGGGAAAATCTTGCAAGTTTATAAACCGAAAAAATTACCAGAGAAAGCTAATGAGAATAGGATCTGATTTTTAATCTACTGCACTAGATAATAAGAGAAAACATCTTACCCAATACTGTTCTTATGCCAGAGATTTTTATTGTATTTATGAAATACTTTTAAAAATTGATTATGTAGGAAACCGTACATTATTTGTGGCCATAACCTGATAAAAGTATGGATATAAATACTGAAAACAAACAAACAATTGTATCTTTTCTCCACCCCCTTGAGCAAGAAAAGCAAAACAGAGGAGTGTTTACAAAGTCCCATTTTGGTAAGCATAACGAATATGTATATGACTACATATATAGGACTATATGAACACAGAGAAAAACATAGAGAAATACATAATAGGCTTGTGGGGTAAGTACTAAAGTGAAGAGGTGTGGTTAGTGATGGAGAGCCAAAGAAAAAAGACTGCATTTTAGAAAAGGCAACGTCTCGTTTACATAGTAGTGTTATGTGTTGAGTCTGTATATTGGAATATGAAAAGAATACATATATAAATAACTAGAACAACACAAGAAGTAGAAATCCTAAGCAGACCAGTAGCCATGGCAGAAATTATAAAAGCATAACAAGTCTGTCTTTAAAAATTACACCTGGGGCTGGGTGTGGTAGCTCATGCCTGTAATCCCAGCACTTGGGGAGGTCGAAGCAGGTGGATCACCTGAGGCTAGGAGTTTGAGACCAGTCTGGCCAACATGGTGAAACCCCATTTCTACTAAAAATACAAAAAATCAGCCAGGCGTAGTGGTAGGCACCGGTGATCCTAGCTACTAGGGAGGCTGAGGCAGGAGAATCACTTGAACACAGGAGGTGGAGTTTGTAGTGAGCCAAGATCATGCCATTGCACTCCAGCCTGGACCACAGAGCAAGATTCCATCTTTTTTTTTTTTTTTTTGAGACAGAGTTTCGCTCTTGTTGCCCAGGCTGGAGTGCAATGGCGCGATCTCAGCTCACCGCAACCTGTGCCTCCTGGGTTCAGGCAGTTCTCTTGCCTCAGCCTCCCGGGTAGCTGGGATTACAGGCACGTGCCACCATGCCCAGCTAATTTTTTGTATTTTTAGTAGAGACGGGGTTTCACCATGTTGACCAGGATGGTCTCGATCTCTTGACCTCGTGATCCACCTGCCTCGGCCTCCCAAAGTGCTGGGATTACAGGCTTGAGCCACCGTGCCCGGCGCGAGATTCCATCTTAAAAAAAAAGACATATATTGAATTTTGAAACCAAAATCTGAATTCTTGTCTAACCTTTAAAGAACTGGTAATTCATAGGCCAGGCGTGGTGGCTCACACCTGTAATTTTAATACTTTGGGAGGCCGAGGTGGGCAGATCACTTGAGTTTGGGAGTTTGAAACTAGCCTGACCAGCATGGAGAAACCTCATTTCTTCCAAAAATAGAAAAAATTAGTCGGGTGTGATGGCACATGCCTGTAATCCCAGCTACTCAGGAAGCTGAGACAGGAGAATTGCTTGAACCTGCGAGGTGGAGGTTGTGGTGAGCCAAGATTGTGCCATTGCACTCCAGGCTGGGCAACAAGAGTGAAACTCCATCTCAAAAAAAAAAAAAAACAAAAAAAAACTGATAATTCCAATTTAAACTATTCTAGATAATAGAAAAAGATAGCTTCCAAATATATCTTATGAAACTAGCACAACCTTAACAATAAAACTTCATCATTACAAGAAAAGAAAGCTGTTGACTAGTTTCCCTCATGAATACAGATGAAAAAGTTTTAAATAATAAACTATACCTAGTGATGTATTAAAAGAATAAGCTTTTTCCAGTAGGGAAGATATGAGAGCAATTTTAAAATTCAAAATAAAAGAATAACCTGTAGGAATAACCTATTTTAATATACCTAGTGATGTATTAAAATAACCTAATAGTGAACCCATCCTGCATGGGTTCAATATTAGGAAATCTTTCCAGATAATTGGTTTCATCACATATAAATGAAAAATATTAATAGGTAAAAGAAATATAAAATCTAGCTGTCATTTCTTATTAGAAGATCTTAAAGTATAAAAAGGACTTTAATTTTCCATATGTTGTAGGAAGGCTTATGGATAGCATTCCTTTTGCTTGAGGACAACTGAGTGTGCTAAATAAAGTATTAAAAGTATCCCAAAAGCATCAAAAGAGCTAATAGAGGCCGGGCGCGGTGGCTCAAGCCTGTAATCCCAGCACTTTGGGAGGCCGAGATGGGTGGATCACAAGGTCGAGAGATCGAGACCAACCTGGTCAACATGGTAAAACCCCATGTCTACTAAAAATACAAAAAATTAGCTGGGCGTGGTGGCGCGTGCCTATAATCCCAGCTACTCGGGAGGCTGAGGCAGGAGAATTGCCTGAACCCAGGAGGCGGAGGTTGTGGTGAGCTGAGATCACGCCATTGCACTCCAGCCTGGGTAACAAGAGTGAAACTTTGTCTCAAAAAAAAAAAAAAAAAAAAAAGTGCTAATAGATTAGATGAAATTGCCAGACCTTAAGGCAATGTGGGGTGCTAGTTCTGTCCTTAAGGCATTTTTTCATTTGGGTAAACCTGAATTTTAATTTTGAGTCTGTAAGGAAGCAAAGGGGACAAAAATCAAAGACTATTTAAAAAAAGTTTAAGGTGTCACTTCCTATATAGGAGACCTTTTGTACATAAAATAGCAGGCACCTTAAATCACTGTATACCTAGGAAACAGGGATATCTGGTCACTAGGATAAGAACGAGCAGAAGTAAATTTGTAGCCCAAATTCACATCACTCTATGAAATCAGTGAAAATTCGTTTAAAGTAATCGGTACTTAAGGGGCATAGAAAAAAGAGGCAGTTACTTCCTGAAAGAAGGAACCTTCATTCTGGTTCTCAAATAATTCCCCCAATAATTTTTCAAGGACAGAGGGCTTTAATTGAAAGCCAATAGAAACAGACCTACAGTGAAGTCATCTACTTCAAACATCATGCTTAAAGGTGAAACTTGGAGCACTTGTCTGCTGATACCTGGAATAAACCAGGATGATCACTATTACCACATCTATTCAGTATTGTTCTATAGGCTAAGTCAGCAGAAAAGGCAAAAAGAAAAAAGTTTCAGAATAGGAAAAGAACAAGTAATACTATCAATATTTGCTGTCAAAATTATTAAATTGATAGAAAATCCCAAAGCATCTTAGATAATTGTTAGAATGAAGACTTGAGCAGGGCGTGATGGCTCTTGCCTGTAATCCCAGCACTTGTGATGTCAAAACGGGTGGGTCACAAGATCAGGAGTTCAAGACCGGTGTGGTCAAGATGGTGAAACCCTGTCTCTACTAAAAATATAAACAATAACCAGGCATGGTGGTGGGCACCTATAATCCCAGCTGCTTGGGAGGTTGAGGCAGGGAATTGCTTGAAACCAGGAGGTGGAGGTTGCAGTGAGCCGAGATTACACCACTGTACTCCAGCCTGGGCCACGGAGTGAGACTCTGTCTCAAAAAAAAAAAAAAAAAAATTGAAGAGATTGAAATATTACAAAAAATATATATAATCAAGTATGTTTTTTAAATACCAAAATCAAACAGCATGAAAAGCTTTTAAAAAGATACATTGGCCGGGCGCGGTGGCTCAAGCCTGTGATCCCAGCACTTTGGGAGGCCGAGGCGGGTGGATCACGAGGTCAAGAGATCGAGACCATCCTGGTCAACATGGTGAAACCCCGTCTCTACTAAAAATACAAAAAACTAGCTGGGCATGGTGGCTCGTGCCTGTAATCCCAGCTACTTAGGAGGCTGAGGCAGGAGAATTGCCTGAGCCCAGGAGGCGGAGGTTGCGGTGAGCCGAGATCGCGCCATTGCACTCCA